TGTAGCTTTATTGTAAATTCAAATGCAATTATCTCCTGGTTTTTTGACCCATTGCTTTGAGATGTCAAGAAAGCGTTTTAAAATGGCAACCACAAGGTTATATTGAAAAGATTTAGTGTATCAATGAAAAAGAATTAGCATAATGATAGTGTTGTTACTGCTAAATAACTTTATCCTATGTATTAGAAAGTCATAGTAGAAGGTTAAAGTTTTTTAAAAATATTGTTACATTATTTTGCAAAAATCATCGTGTATTTGGTAAAAAACATTCATACAAATCAGCTGTCCTGAAATGGCTACCCAGGTTCAAAAACATAGCCAAATTGGTAGTGTTTGGAAATAAAGTTTAAATCAGAATTTTTAGTATAGTGATTTATTTAAAATATACATTTTGGACTCTCTTTTCACACAATGAACACTAATTTTATAGGGACATTCTTAAGGACTTACACATTTTGGAGCTCATAGTAAGTAAAGTTTGAGAATCTCACATAATGCTGAGCTTACTTAATGCTAATTGGCCGCAGTATAGTACAGTATCAATCTTTGGATTGATTTTAGCAGCCTAGGATACTTGTCTGGATTCTGTCTCTTACTGCTTGTTTGATCCTGTATAATCTTTTAACCTCCAGGAACATTTATTTTTTCATGCTTACCTATCGGACTGTTTTAGTGAACAGATGTTACAGTACAGTACTTAAAAGCATTTTTTATCTGCATGCTGTCATACCAGTGTAAGACACAATATATTAATATTATGACTATGACTATAGGTATACTGTTTAATAATCCAAATGATCAAAGAGTTTCTTTTCTTACATAATGTTAAAAATTTTCACACATCACTTAGGTGTCAAAATAAAAAATGCATTGTGGAAGATGGTCAGGTAGGAAACAAGTGGAGAAGGCAGGTTAGTGGTAACTAGTATTTCAGGTCTGAGTTGGACCGGAATTGGCCAGAGTACATGGAGGAAGCAAAGTGGAGTTCAGTAAATCAACAGTAATATGGGATGTGGGTAAAGAAATTAAATTATACCGAGAACAGATGGGAAATGAATGCCTATGCCAGAGTCTACCTAAAAAAGATTTTTTAAAAATGAAGATAATAAACTGAACATAAATCAGGCATGGATGCTACCACTGGGGTAGTAAGTTGATCCCCTAGGAAGAACAAGGAACGGTAGGGCACTGAATTCCAGTTCCAGGTCTTATCAAAACCATGTGTTAAAAATGAACATAGCCACGTTTTTGTTGTATCTGTTTTGATCAGAATACTAAAGGTTAGGGAGGAGAAAACTAAAAGGGCCTCCTGTGAATACTTTGCTGCCACTGAAAAATGAACCCAAAATCATGTCAGAGCATGACACTGTCACTTAGGTTATTAATAATTGCACAAGAAAGAGGTCATTTTCAAATCTTTTACATCTGAAATATTTTGAGGGCTCTCACTATTCATTATTTTAATAGGTAGTTTAGTTTTCAGTGTGCCAGGCACCACACTGGGTAGATCGGGGGAGTACAAAACTCACATGTTCTTGCCTGAGGAAGCTGTGGCTTGACTGTCCTCTGAGGCATGTGTCTCTTATAGGTTGTTAGCGAAAGTGGACAAATTACTCAAACCCCTCCAGATTCACAACTCTTTGCAATGTGACTGCAGCTCCCTTTACCAGGAGGTGAAGTCTGTCTTCCTACAGTTTTGAATCTAAGTTGATATGGGGACTTTACTTACACAAATCATGGCAGGGGCACATTGCACCAGTTCTGATCCTGGGCTTCCAGAAGATTTGTTTATTTATTTATTTATTGGAGAACACGTGGCCACCATGAGAACAGTCTGCGGTTAACATGTGGAGAATGAGAGTCCCTGTGGATGCAGCCATTCTTGCTAAGGACATCCTACATGGGCTGCCTGATGGGCCAGCTGGTGGCTGACTGTAGAACAAGCCCAGCTAAGATAGGTAGCACAATCTAGGTAAGCCTGGCCCAAATTTCTGAGGTATACAGTTGTAAGCTAAACACATGTTTGTTTCAAGTCACTAAATTTTGGAAAGGTTCATTATGTAGGAAAAGCTGATGGAGATGTTTCTAACTATGTGAGTATGACTCAAAGTTTATTTTGATTATAGAATTTTACATAAAGGTTATCAAACTACTTTGATAACTGCCATATCATCACTTCACTTTGCACAGCATGGGCATAGTCTAGTCTATAGTTGTCAGAATACAGACACCATGGGAAGGTTTGATTTTGGATTTCTGATTTGCAAAATATGAAGTTGACTAATGTGCTTGTAACAAGACATGCATAGTATAATTCTCGGAGAAAATGTAAAGATTTAGAAGAGCCATAAACATCCACAAGCATCACAAGCTTCTAATAAGCAGTTGTAACATTAATGCAAATCCACTTAGCTTTGTTTCCTAAAATGATGACTCACAGTATTAAACAAACAAATAAACAAACCAGTAAAAAAAGCCTCCAACAAGCAAAAACCTGTTTATCAGATTCAAGATTTGTACCAATGGCCAAATAAATCCTATAGATGCATAGACAACATCTGATTTTTCCTTCAGATCTAATTATGTTGATGTGTTAATAAAAAGATCAACCCCAGGCTCAAATATTCTTCCAGTTGTCTCTGTGCAACCGCCTTAATTCTAATGATGCCACTTCAAGTAGAGATTAATGAAAGGGATCCTTGATGTATTTTGATTTTCAAATATGTCAGAGTATCTTTTTCTGTTTTCCTGGCAGACTATCTCTTCTATCCAGCTCTCAAACTGAACATTTGGGAAGTGGCCAGTTCCAGAGCTAATGTGTTTCTGCTCTTTTCTGACACTGGTGCTTCATAGACACAGCAATGAAGACAGGACTTAAGTGGATGTATTTTTGAAATGAATCTTTTAGTTACTTAGAAGAGAATTTCTTCGGTTAACTTTCTTTTTGCCCTATCTGGTTGTACAGGAGTCATATAAATGTGAAGATGCTGGATTTGGAAAGGAATCAAAGACTGTGGGAGCAACTGAAGGAAAATCATGCTTAACTCAGGAGAAATGGTCTACTGGACGGGCTGGGAACTGTGTTTCCTTGAGAAGGAAGCCAGTGACAATGACTCAGAGAGTGAGATATGACAAGAGGCCCCAAGGGTGGCCATGGTACACCATCAAGGAGTCACACATAAGGAGTCCGGACGAGAGAAAATACATAGGTGAGCATGGAGGAAGGGAGCCCACATTTTTTAATGACCACTATTTCTATCCAATAGAAATGTTTTACGCCAACGTGAATTTTTTAACCCTAGTTAGGAATGAGAGTGTTAAACTACATCCTTTAATATGCTATCAGGTCAGCAAATAATCTATTTAAATCCTTACCATTTTAAAATGACTCACCAGGGTTTGTTAGCCACTAAAATGGAAAGCTGCTTAGTAAAAAGAGGACTTTTAGTAAAAAGAGGACTTTTAGTTGTCTTTATGTGGCAAAAAATAGAGAAAGGAAGCAGCATAGAAAACCATCTCTGCCTGGCTTTTATTTCTGAGATGGAAGCAGAAGTGAGATATAATTACTGCATAATTTCCTTTTGACTGGAAGTGGATCTGCCATCATTGTGGCATGCTCCCTAGGGGTACCAGTTCCCGTGTTCTTCTTGGCATCATTTCATATTGGGGAATGAGAATTAATGTCCCTTAAAGGAGACCCATCTGGGCCCTATCATAAAATTCCTGTCGTCACTTAGAAAAGGTGAGCCTGGATTAGCTCGGGTGGCAATAGTGGGGTAGGAGGGGACAATGAAAGATGAGACATCTTGAAGAGGCACCAAGAGTGAGCAGCTGCCACCTGTCATACCCAGGGTCTCTCTTGGGTCCCTCCTCCACCTGACTTCTTTTTCATTTGAAGCCTGTTCATGCAGCCTTGCCCCTTGGATCTAGGAACTTTATCTAAAGTTCTGATTTGAGCATTTATCAAGAAGTTTGAACATGGTTTTTTTTTTCCTAGGTTAGCCATAACTTTTTGTTTCTTTTTATTAGCATATATTTGTTATAAAATTATATATACTGTGATTTCTAAGTGATACAATTTCTAAACCATTGCTGGAAATTTTACTTATTTCAATTAATATGAATAATTAAGTCTTATGCTTGATTGACTTGATAGGCTAGATGTCAGATTTTGCAAAAGGTTAACTTAAGGCAATATCAAAATAGGGAAAACATTTTCTTTCCTCCTTATTTATTTCTTGTGTGCCACAATCTTGTGTATCAACACTGAATTTTATGTGAGGCCCCCATCTTGTACTCTTTTGAGTAGAGGAATAAGAGTCCAAAAATGCAGTCAGTATTTGTATCATTCCTGCTGGTATGATGTTATAAAATAAAATCAATTCTAATAGTTAGATGAGAAATTTGGTATTTGCTCTAGAGTTCAGATATCAACATTTAAGAAGCAATGGCTTAATGTGAGTTAGAGATGACATTTTTGTTTTTGGATGTTTTTTTTTTTTTCTTCTATTTTCTGCTTTGCTGTGACTCTGATGTTCTGGAATATTTTGTACTTGTGGCCACAGTGAACAAGACTTTTTAACCATAGAATCAGCACAAGACCAGCTCTTGCAGAGGGCCATTGGAGTGATATCTTTGAAACATAGACTATTTCTGGGGAAGATGAGAGGGATTTCAACTCAGGATTTAGAAACATGCTAATGTCATGGACTTTTGCATGGAAGACTGTGATGATAGTGATTTTAGCAAAGGGATTTCTAGCTGGCATCTCTTTATACCTTTACACCTCTTTATAACATGTACACATATATGTAGCACATTTATGAAAAATAAACTCCTCTCTGACCCTGGGATCATAATTTACTATCTTTGCCCTCCATTCTCAGCCAGAACCTCAATCCCCTAGTTATGTTACTGCTCTCTTCTAAGGGATTGAAATCAACTGCTATGACTTCTTATATCATTTCCAGTAGGCACATCTACTTCTAGAAACTGCATACCTGATGGTTCGTTCTGTCTACTGTATTGGCCGTGGAAGGGTGGTCTCTAGTGTTCTGGCGAATTCTGGTGGAGTTTTGTTGCTCAATGGTTGAGGAGGTTGGGATACAGAATTCTCTGAAGCATCGTTTGAAGTTTTCATCCAGAAATGCATACAGGACTGGGTTCAGGCAGCTGTTTGTGTAACCTAGGGCAATGCAGAAGTGCCATGAAACTGTCTGGAAAGTAGTTTCTGGAATCGTGATCAAGGCTTTAATAATGACATAAATGTGAATGGGAGTCCAGCAGACAATGAACACAGCCACAACCACCAGCACCATCCTGGTGATCCTTCGTAGATTCCTGTCCTTTTCTTTGGAGCCCGAGAGCATGCGGACACTCTTGAGACGTAAGATCATCAGTCCGTAACACACCGTGATTATGAGGACAGGCATGATGAAGGCAAAGATGAAGACACAAATCTTCAGTAGGTTCTCCCAGTACCAGGTTGGATGAGAAAATGTTAAAGTACAATCTATGGAACCTAGAAGAAAATAATTTAAAAAAAATATCAACAACAGATTATTACGTTAGATATTAATATTGCCATTTTTAAAAATTAATTTATAGGCTTGACCAGGTTTAAATTAAAGTTATAACTACGTAACACAGTAGGAAAAAAATGTTAAATTATGGAAAAAACTCAACTTTATTGCTTTTCAGAGAAATTTATTTTTAAAAAATTCCTCTTAATTTTTCATTTTTCTGTTTCCTTTGATCACATCAAGTCTTTTTAAGTGAACAATTATGGATTTACCACCATAAGCTAGACACTTTGTGAAATTTGTGTTTATGTGAAAAATATAACCATTGTCCAAAATCTCTCGGAGTTTTCAGCTAGTTAATGTCTTTACTTTTGAACGAGTAATTCATTATTCTGTTACTAGGTCTAAAAAGATAAATTTGTCATGTAGTAGCCATTTGACATTTTTTTAAAAAGCCTAAATTTGATATTCTTTGGTATGTTTGCTGCTGAAGAAAGCACAATTTAATATTGTTTGGTTTAAACTCAATCATTTTAAAGAGAATTATGCTTATTTAATCATCCTTTTGATAAATTAAATAAAGAAAAATCAGGAAAATGTATTATATTCCTTTTAAAATATTTAGTAGACTTCCACTTACAGGAAAACTTCCTGTTTCAATATCTCCAAAGGCATTTTTTTAGAAAGACTAATTAATGTGGTCAAGATAATGGACTGCTCTATAAATTCTACATGGCTCATGACAGCAACATTTCAAGTACACCATTCATTTCTCGAGCCTACAATGTCACTTACCATTCCTGTATTTTGTGGTTGCCATGAACATTACAGGCAGACCAATGGCAGAAGATAGGATCCAGTTGCAGACATTGACAATTTTGGCATTTCGAGGAGTACGAAAATCCAGGGCCTTCACGGGGTGGCAGACTGCAATATAACGATCCACACTCATGGTGCAGAGAGTGAATATGCTGGTGAACATATTGTAGTAGTCTATGGAGATCACAATCTTGCACAGGATGGTTCCAAATGGCCATGTTCCCATTAGGTAATTTACACTCTGAAATGGCAGAGTACTGGTAGCTAAGGCATCTGCCAGAGCAAGGTTGAAAATGTAGATATTGGTGGCAGTCTTCATTTTGGTGTATCTGTGAGTGGAGGAAGAGCAGTGAGAGTGAGTAAAGACACAGACTTGAAATAAAAATAAGCTTCCAATAAGAAAACTATGTAAATTAATGGGAAAAATCGAGATTAAATATGGTATTCTTTTAAAGCACTAGCTTGGCTATTTATAAATATATGGTTAAGTATATAAAATCTCTATTATGTTTCTTATATGTAAAATCCTGATTTACTGAGGACTTTCTTTTTGTTTTCAGTGTTCTATGTGACAGGTGTAATTAACATCAAGAGCTTCCCACTGAGTGAAAAAAGAAGAGGGGATAATAATTCTAAACATACAAGAGAAACTTTAAGGCACTATAATAATTCTAAGTGGATAAGAGAACATTTTATGGACTCCATGTTGATATTGTCATAATTATTGAACACTATATTAATGCAAGATTATATATATGTGTGTATATACATATATATATATACATGCAAACACACACAAATGCACAGGCCACGATGGGGACCTAGACAAAGCATGTAACAGGGGAACAGGATGAGTGAGACTGAAGATATCTTAGAAGTGCACACTCCAAAGTTGAATCTTACAGGGTAAATAAGAATATGACATGGACATTTGATCGAAGGCTCGAGTCATCCCGGGAAGAGGGAGAATAATGAGAATCCCAACAAAGGGACAGAACTGAATGGCCTGCTGTGTGTTTGGCACTGCTGAAGGTAAAAGTGTTCCGAAGTGGCAGTGGGTCTGAGATGGTGAGATTGTAGAGGGCAGACTGCAGAGGAGTGTGTATGCAGGGGCAACAAGATTAGACGTTATCTAGCAGAGGTTGGAAAAACTAAGTTTGTTGTTTTCTCTCATTCTTAATACTCTATGAGATGTAGTTGACATGCAACAAGTGAGATACAAAAAATACACATTTTGGTAAGTTTTGACATATGTATACACCCACAAAATCACCATAAGATCAAAGATTGGTAAACTCTGGTCTGTAGACTCACTTGGACCACTGCACCTTTTTGTATGTTGCTTATTAGAAAAAACCCACACCTACATGCTATTAGAAGTTTTTGTTGTGTGGTATTTTTTTTTCCACAGGGATAGGGATGGATGCCAGGGCCTCACACATCCTGGATAGGCAAATGCTTTACAATGGAGGTAACACCTCATCTCATATCATTTTATCTATAGCTATTTTAACACTACAGTGGCAGGTTTGAGTAGTTGCAAGGGTAATTATATACTCTAAAAAGGGTGTATTTACTGTCTTGTCCTTTGCAGAAAAACAAAGGCTTATCCAGTCAAATTAATTAATTATCAATCACCTAGAAAACTTTCTTCTTATCTTTCTTCTTGTCCCTCCTTTCCACAAACTTCATCTTGCTGTTTCCTAGGCAAACACTACTGTTGGTATGCTTTCTGTAACTATAAATTAGTTTGCATTTTCCAAAATTTATGCAAAAAATGAATCATTCCATATGTGTAATTTTGTCTAGCTTTTTCACATTTTGACATTTATACATGCTATTGTATACATCAATAATTCATTGTACTTTCCAAGAAGTCCTCCATTATATGATTACACCATGATTTCTTTCTCCACTCATCAATTAAGGCAACTAAGTTACAGTTTTGGCTATTATATATTAACCCTTTGAAATCTTTATAGAGACATATGCTTTTGCTCTTCCTAAGTATGTAGGAGTTCTGTCTTCAAGGTCTACAGAAAGTAAATTACTAAATGAAAAAGAAGCAGCTATATTCCTAATAAGGCATTCTATCTGTTAGTGGGATGTACCTTGAAAATATTGAGCATCCCCCTCCCTTTTTTATACTTAGAATCTATATACATCATTCATTACCAGTACCTCAGCAGTCTGGAGAAACACTAACTTCCCATTTTTCAGCCTAGTGCTTTTCAAATGGCTCTATTACATGTTGAGGCTATGAAGCTGTTTCAGAGCTGAAAGAAGAGTCATCTTTGCTCTTTAATTTTCTTGAATGTTGAGAGGAAAAAAAAGAGCTCTAAAGGATACAACAGCAAGTGTGTTTAGGGGTGTTAAATAGCTGACCATATTAATGTTTTTGGTTGGATCATTGAACACAACTGTTTGCAGTCTCACTGTTTGAATGTCCACTTTGTATGCTTTGATACCATGATTTGAGCAACTATCTCTAAGATGATAATGTGTAATCTATTAACTGGTGATTTCTTACTTTTTTTTTTTGTAGTTCTGTATTACTTGTACCCTTACACCGCTTTGTTTTGTTTTGTGTTTTTCTCTTTTTCCTTTTAAATAAAATTAAAAAAAAATAATTTTCTTGAACGTATTTGTGGGCCAGGGTAAGTGGTAAGGATATTTTTTAACTGAGCATGAGAGGAATTCTTGAGAGAAGGGTGACTGAACCCTGCCTGGTGTCTCTTAGCTTCTTCTGGTCATGCAGTATTTCCCTCTTGCATGCACTCCATCATACGGCCATTTTCATCATGTGATTCGGTGAGAGGATCCCAACAGAGTAGGTACCACCATTCTGTTTAGAATTTAAACCTTCAACATTGAAGGCTAAGTAAACCTCTTTTTCATATATTATTCATCCTCAGTTATTTCCTAATAGTAATGATAAACAGGTAACCCAACAGGCAGTGAAGTTTGTTAAAGGGGATGACATCTGGAGAAAATGTATAATAGTTAATAGTTTTCTCTTGGGCCCAAAAACAAACAAAACAAAATTGAAAGCAAGATTTTAAACTTTTAATAGATTTTTTCTTGATGTTCAAGAAGTTTAAATATTCTTGATGCTTTTTATACACCGAAACTTCTTCCTCAAAGCAGAAACGTAACCTCTGGTAGATATGCCACTGACTTGTGGGATCTGAAATCGTGCTTCAATGCATTAGTCACATCCGATCCACCTTACATCTCACATCTTATTTTTAATAGAGTGCTTTGTGTTAAATACTCGGGTTCTTGAGGTCAGTTTTTCTGACTCATCATTCTGGCAACCTTTACTTTAGGATTATCTAAGCTCTAAATATTTACAATGTAGGCTTATTTCAATTTTTAAAAAGTCATTTCCTCTCTAGGAATGAGATGTTTGTAAGACAAAATTAGGTTGTGGTCTGTCATAAAAGGAAAACTAAGGCAAGGTTTAATTTAGCCATTCCACAAAACACATGTACTTCAAATTCTTATACTGTATTTGACTTATATAATTTTACCAAAAATTTAAAATAAATCAATAAAATGCGAATATCTATAAGATCTATTTCCATGAGCATTTTACAGAAACAATACTGGCTAGTTTTTTTCAAATTATCCACAAAACCTTTTTGCACAAATAGCTGGCATTCTGATCTCAAGTGCTCATGCTTTTTTCATCAATTTTCTAAATACATGTAAGAAACTTTAGAAGAATCAAGGTGTGGGAATTGCAACTGCCTTCAGCACACATGCAAAGATTTTAATATGAAGAGATGGTCTGGTCATAAAAAGCGTAATGTTACTTGACTTATGCAAGATTTATCTCTGTTCTTCTGTGGTGGTATGATTACCACCCCAGGAAACTTGAATGAATGATCAGACACATTATGAGGCACACATGGGAAGATCCAAACCAGAGAAAGCTGAGTCAAACAGATGAGTTGAAAGAAGAGTCATCTTTGCTCTTTAATTTTCTTGAATGGATTTGTGTAGAACTGCTGAATACCAAGACACAATCCTTTTCCTTTTTTGATCCTATTGCATGCTATTGTGCCATGATTGCCTTTAGCAACTAAATAGGTAAAATGAACTGGCTGAGATATAGGTCATGTCTTCAAAGAATCTCATCTAGACCTTCAGGGCCTTCTTGGTATTAGCTGCACCTAATGTAACCCCTGACCTGAGTCTTCTCTTGTAAGCAATGGCCTCAGCCATAGTTTCCATTCTATTTGTCTCATTGGAATTTTCATAGTAGATGTTCTTTAGCTTTGTTCTAGATTACTGAATAGCTTTATCGTTCTATGAACTCAAAAGAATTACCATGCAGTTTTTTAAAAAAAAATTGTGTTCTTAGGATCTTCAATGTTCCACTGGTCAGAATGGTTTTATAGGGAGTCAAGGTAATGTATTGGGCAAGAGATTATGAAAGCTGTTTGGTTGACAGCTCATCATTTTCTGTGTTGCAATTTTGCTTGTAAATGTCCATTTTTTGTTGTTATAAAGTCATATTCCCATCTATCTTCAGACCCATTCTTCAGCCCATTTCCCCCACTATTGTGTCTTTCCAAAAGTTTGTTGATTTTGATACACTTGTGCTACCTGAAGCCATGCTGAGTCATTTACATATATAGGGGTTATGTATCTCAGTTCAGAAATGAAACCGATTAGAGCATAAAACAAGGAAGAATATATTTTAGAACCCAGTTTGTTGGTTTAGTACCACATCATGACTTTTGTTACTGAACTTAATTTTATTAAGAGCTTATAATAGAGACAGTGGGAGTATGCAGAGAATTGTGTCTTCTTGGGCTTGTTCTGTCATTGCACATTTTTACCAAATTGAGTGAAGAGGAGGACATACACTTAATTCAGTAAGGATTCAGTAAGCCCTTTTTCAGCACAGTTGTTGTAAAGGTACATTTACATTTGCTATGACTTTTATGTCCACTAACCTTCACACAGAGATTTAGATTTCTAATAAAGAAAAACTCCTGAGACTATCATCTTTTAATTTTCATGGTTAATTGGGTAAATCAAATGAAAGACTGGTGATGGTCCCATATTTCAGATTATTAATAGGTGAAAAAAAGTATTCACATGAACATCTGCCTAAGTTCCTCCTTTATTTCATGGTGGTATCTTGGGGGTGGAAAAAAAAAGAGAGGAGAGAGAAAAAGAGAGAGAGGCAGAGAGAAAAAGAGAGAGAAGCAGAGAGAGAGAGAAAGAGAGAGAGGAGGGAAGGGGGAAAGATTCTAAAACTAACAAAGACTAAAAGGAAATTAATGATTAGTCTCATTTTTTATTACCTTAAAAA